TATCGCAGTTTCTTCATAACACATATGTACCCATAAGATGTTTGTGAGTAATAATAATAATATTGGTCATAGCCACACAATCCTCGAAGCTGAACATGAGATAACTGGGAAAACAAATAACTCGGGAACCATTTATTCAGTCGAATGGCATGGCTCAATCTCGTAGACGTGGCCATCCTGTATTAATTGTCTTTACTTACATTAAATATATTATCCCATCTTTAGCCCTGTTATGTCCCGATAAGCATAATGAATGGTTACTTTCTGGATCCACTTATGGACCATTACTATGACTATACTTTTGTTGTATAAGTGTTAAATAACTAAACTGTTCATATTCATATCCCTCTTATCATAAGCTTATTTTCGATCCGTGAGCTATTTCTATACGATTTACCATTCTTGAATTATGTCCTGTCTATTAATTACTACATCCCTCATTCACATCCACATTTGGTTAATTCTTGTAAAAATGTTGTTTCATCTTTTACAGTACGGTGTGGTCTATCTGTTTGGTATATAAACCCAGCATGATTGAAATAAACGATTCATATTGCAGAGGTTGTGATTTGTGTTCTGGATTGACTGATTGGGCTGGGCGGTATGCAGGATCAACAGGGACTTTAAACTTCTCGCACGTGTTTTTACTCGTCACCGGCCAGGTAGACAATTCACTGTTCTCTAGTTGGCGGTATCGTTACGTTATGCACTAGTAGGGCACACAGCCCACAATTTATAACAAGCCCAAATGTACTCTTCAAAAACATAAGAAGTGATATAGCATATTTTTATGGTATGATTAGTCAGTGTAGACAATGATGAAACTACCATATAAGATCTCATAGATTATGTGATCACATTATTACAAATCTACACTTTCAGGGTAAGGTCTAATATTGTAATAGTACTAATACCGAACTAGGCCATAGTTCCACCGCCCAAACAACAATGTTAAAGATTACCATTGTGAAAATTAGAACAACACATATAAGCGAACAATTGTTTTCAATTAGATCGTCATCAGGCTTTACTCTAATATACATGAATATTTATACGAAAATTTTAAACCAATCAAGGCAATATGTGTCAATAATCACAATGAAATAGAATAAGTCTCTACACATAATAGGTAAAAGGACAAGTTTATAGTAGGTAGACAGGTGAACTGATAATAGTAAGAATAATAAAAACAATAACAAAACTCTTATCTATGGTTATACATTGGAAATATAAGGTCAAATATGGGTAAATAGACTAGGAATAGTAATCACAAAACATCAAAATCATTACGCAATAAGATGTATGTAAATAATAAGATAGTGAAGAGGCGGAAAATTACAAATAAATAATGGATGTGGAAACAAAGTTAATGTGTATAATTTCTTCGTGATTACTTTAGTTTCAGAGTGTCACTAGCCACATCCCCGTTGAATTGCACTTTCATGTACAAAGGTTTCTTATGAACAGTCGAAATCCCCGACTTATTTATGTCATACATGTACTTCTTAATGAAAGCACTGGGGTAACCGATCTTGGTCAGTGAGTTGTTGATAAATTCAAGCTTCCGACTTGGAGTATCTATTGTACATATCTTTTTGCTCTGCCAGTGAGACATATGAACAAATTTCTCTTATAACAGCTAGGTGTGAAACCGCAGAAGTGGGTATATTGACATGAAGAGAGGGTTTCTTCTATACGCGCTTCTACTTAATGTGCCGTCACTTCGTCTGCTTAATGTGACGTCAGGGAAGTTCAGCTTCTTATCGTGCTCGCTCTCACCAGTGGAAATGATCGCTGGGTGAACACTGTCGAATTGTTCTACGAGTTCCTCCTAACTGGTGTTTTGATCTACGATAATGGTGTCATCAATGTAGCGGCAATATAAATCAAGTTTCTTAATAGTCTTATTGAGAGGTCCATTTTCTAGCTTTGCTAGGAAGCGATCAGCTAAAATCGGGCCTAGATGCGAGCCCATGGCTATCCCGTCTATTTGTCTATAATAAGTATTGTTGAAGACAAAATGTACATTCAGCGTGCATCTTAGCAGCAGTTCCTTTAGACTATCGTTAGGCAAGCCAATGCTGATTTGTTTTTCTGATATTTGCTTGCATATAAACTCAATAGTCTCTATAAGTGGTGCGTTGGTGAACAAAGATCCTACATCCAATGAGATTATATTGTTCATACTAACATTAATATTTTCCACTTTGGAGGTGAATAGGAAGATACCTTATACACTATTTCTCACAACTGATTTGTGTAAAGGTTCTAAGATTCGTACTAGCCACTATTATCAGTTCACCTGTCTTCCTACTATAAACTTGTCCTTTTACCTATTATGTGTAGAAACTTATTCTATTTCATTGTGATTATTGACCCATATTGCCTTGATTGGTTTAAAATTTTCGTATAAATATTCACGTATATTAGAGTAAAGCCTGATGACGATCTAATTGAAAACAATTGTTCGCTTATATGTGTTGTTCCAACCAACAATGACCGTGGTGTCATGGGACTTCTGTGAGAACAGTATTTCCAAACATTTCAGCTGTCACATACTGGTTACAGCTAAGGGAGCTTCACCTGAAACTCAATGGGACTCTCATAACTGAACATAGGAACACTTCTTTTAATACTAACAAGTATGGAGTCCCTGATATGCGATGGTTTGCGTGACTGCTAGTTATCTGTGGCCTTGTCACATCAACAGCACGGGTTCAGGTGGGGTTACTCTTGCGTGACCAACATGCCGATCACAATGAACAGTCCTTAATTACAAGGGGAAGATTGATGTGACAGACCATGACCTCTCCAAGACTTTTGATAGGACTAAGCATATATGTCATACCAATAACTTCAAACGAATAGACATCAAATCATCGTTAATTGACCGGCTTACTCCATATTTAAGCCACTGACGTTTTAGGATGAAAGTAAACCTCACTTTTTCACAGTCCACGGAATGATTTAGTGGGTTCTCTCGGCGTTCAGTGCTAGGACCTCTTCTTTAATCTATATAAGTGGCCTCGCCCAGCAGGTATCGTCTAGTTTACTACTTTTCTCTGACGATGGGTAAATCTGATTTGCAACCAAGATGATAAGTTGGCACTTCAGGAAGATCTGTAGAATCATGGTCTGCCATGATATCAGGACTGCTTTAATAATAGACCTAATCCTAAAGTTGTACATTTGTCATGATGTAACTGCCCAGTCTATAAGACCTCACGTGGAATTCATATCATTATGAACACTGACTCATCGTATCGTAATAATTACCAATATATGGTGGAGAACACATTCAGGTTCCAGGTAGAACAATATATTTAATATGAGCAAAAGCAAATTGTACAGATCAACCACGCCTGCAAGGCTGAGCCGTGCCATCCGACCACTTCGAATCAATACGATTCATTGTTCTCACCTTCTCCATCGTTGGGTTTTTCTTTGTGTTAAATATTGAACACCTATTTTCCCAAGTGTCTCGTATCCAGCTTTGAGGATTGTATGGTTAGGGCCGAATGACACTACAGATCTGCCTTGACTCCAAAGCTGGACAGACAACAACAAATTTACTCTTAACAACGAAGTGCAAAGTAATCTATCAGAGATATGTAGCATGATACACATATAACTTCGGCAATTCCCCCATAGAGGTATCCAAAATTAGAAAATAATTCAGAGTTTCTCACAGTTAAGTTCACGAGTCGGTCTACACTAGATCACCATCAAAAGCATGAAACCACTGTATCACACGGCCGTCCGGTGCTTCTAGGTTTCCAATAATTTCCTAGCACGAACTGACTAGTAAATGCAACTGTTAATATACCGCAACCTTAACAAACCTCTGCCCGATCGCAGAAATTTCGCCTAATCTTTTAAATCTCTCTTCAATCTCAGGGCATGAAAATATAATTATCTCCCCTCACTCCAAAAGGGTAAAAGGACACTGAAACAGATCCAGAGGCGAGCCACAAAATTAATTCAAACCTTAAGAGCTCATCGAACCACTATAACATTACATATTAGAGCATAAGCGCCTCGGAGGTGACCTTATAATGACTTAAGGCGTCCTAAATACTCGTAAACATCCCATCAAATACTTTTTCAAGATCAGTCACGAATCAAACATTAGAAGTAACACCCAGAAATCAGAGACGCAAAATGGAAGAATAGACAGTAGGCTCAACGTTCACCCATTAAGAGTAGTCAAATTATGAAATTCGCTGCCGACTAAGGTAGTTCAAGCGACTTCCTAGGAATACTCTAGAGGGAAACCTACCATATTCTTAAGGACTTAGGACAGTGTCTTACTATATTCTAGTAATATTTCTCATTTTATCAATAAATATACCTAGGTCCCTACCTCGAGACATCGGTGATCCACTGTTACAAAATACGGATACTCACCCAGAACCATTTAAGATGACTTAGATATCCCGAAAAAAAGTACGGAGGGCAGCTACCTGTGCAATTCCAGAACTCTGAGGTTTACCATACAAAAACCTGCTTGAAAAAATAGACCTCTTTACTCTGTCCTACCACAGAATAAGTGGTTATCTGATTTTGATGTAAAGAATACTAATATGTGATTTTGAAGGTCACATCCTCCCTTTTTCTTCCCACTGGATCGTGACATCTCAGAGGACATAGAAGACGAGTTGAAAAGCCGAGGATGAACAAAATATCTGTGTCATACAAGTTTTCACCAATTCTTGGAACTTGTTACTCGAGGCAGTGGTGTCTGTACCTTCGATTGACCCGTTCAAGAGAGTACTAGATACCTACAGAAACATGCTAGAAAAGTAATAACATAGGCCTTCTGTCCTCACTACACAAGTCTGAAATTTGAAATATTTGGAATTCTCTGCCAGAGCACTTAGTATAAGCACCGTTTGTTGATTCATTCAAAGTGAGAACGGACAGCCACATTTTTCTCTAATTGCAAGGATTAGACTTATTTTTATTACAGAATTGTGGATTGTATACTGTTTAATGTTTATACTGGCACCTTTTTAAGCCTGACGTTACGAAGTTGCACATGCCGAAATAATGCCAGAAAACGACTCAGTGAGATTGTACATTTTGCTTGACCAGGCTTCACTAGAGTCAGTTAAGGCATCTAGTGGGAAAGAGTTCCAACTGCTTAATCCTGATAGGCATAAAGATCGGATTTTAAAGACAGGAGTTGATGTTGCCACAGTTCGTCCAGATATTACCCATCAATGTCTACTCATGCTACTTGATAGCCCATTAAACCGAGTTGGTAAACTACAGGTTAGTTTAGCCTATTCAGTATGATGGCGCGTTTGACCTCAGGCTATATTATAAGGTTCTACTTGTTGCTTATTTCAACATAATTGCTTCACCAGAGGGTAACTAGCACTTCTGAAATATTTCCTTCACCGAAGTGTCTATTTTGATGATAATCCCTAAGATCCTACTGGTTTATCTGTCTCTAAAAGGAAAAGACATTACCTTTTTAAAAGTAATGTACGGTATATCGTACTTGTGATAAAAGTCTTACAGAACATAAAATTTAGGTTAAACAAACAATAATTACCTTTATGGTGCAAGTCCATTACTTTGCTATTCTCGTTTCTTCATTAAAGACTAATCTAAATTTTGAATGTAATTCGCATCCGTCATGTAAAAGTGTTTTCGGTGTGCATGAGTTAAAAAGACATTGCACAAATTTTACGTCAGTGATTCTGAATTCAAGGTTGATTGTCTAGACACGGTACTTTTCCTTTCCAGCCTCATTGTGACTTAGGGATATTTCAGTCCTTGAACAGCAAGGTGTCGTTTAACACTATACGAATTAGATCTTCGTTCTGCCCTACTTTATGGCAGTCAAACATAGCCGGTAGGAGTAAAGGATGTTTGTAGGTTACTAGTATTCGTCCATAGCTGTCTTCGAAGCATTGCTCATATATCCTAAGACCACTGAATAAGTAATGCAATTGTTAGGAAACGGATACTAGATAAGGATGGCAAACTAATTGGTAAAGTAGTGAAACTTCATCCGTTGAGATGACTGAGACATGTATTACGTATGCCCAACCACCGACTGCTTCGACGTGCAATGTTTTGTGGTGTAGGAGTAGGTTGAAAGCTAGTAGCGACCAGACCAAGACATGGCACAAATCCATGAATTCACTGACAAATGGACTGAGCCATGTTAGTAGGTGTAGACTACCTAGTTGGGATCCTCGAAGTGATGGCGACCGATGGTTAGAGACCTTGAAAGTGACATGGTTGGAAATCGTTTGCAATGGTGCGGGTGCATCCACTCTTTGTGTTCTCATAAATTCTGATCTTCTGAATTCTTCATGTCCCTTTCTTTTTATCTCTTTCCAAATTTATTTCACTGGATTATACTCGTTGAATAACTTCTTCGAACCCTGATGTTTCCGATTACTGTTTATACTTTGACTACATCTACCACTATGGGATTTGAATGGACAATTGTATCTGTGTGGTAATTTGGTATGTCAACTCGAACTGATGTATGTACGTGCGAAGTTCTGACTGATACGTACTAGATCCTGTGATGTATAAATAAAGTTCTATAAGGTCGTCTTCAATCATCTAAACCACCGACAACACAAATTCATATCTTGATTTTTATCTGATTTGCAGAAGTGTCCATTTACAGGAATAAGTAGACTTTCGGCAGCCCGAATTCGACGAGTCATTTGCACACATCAATACAAGTTTTCCAGGAATATTTAATACTGAATTTTTTTCTTCGTACTAACTGTAGTTTGAAACTGCAGGATATTTCTCATAGTTCATTTTAATTATACTGGCACATTTGTTTTAATTTTCTCAAAGGTTTTTATTCGAACAAGAAAAAATGTGATAATTGAAGTGAATCCTAAAACAAGAATACCACGTACATTCGATCGATTTTGTGGGCTTATGGTGCAACTTTTACACAAACTCTCAATACATGCTGAAGGTGGCAATCGTGAGAAACTATTAAAGGTATGTACAGTATTCTTGTTAATTTTATTTAGTTTTTTTATAGATCGTCAAAAACCCTGTAACACGACACTTTCCAATTGGTGCTCCAGTTATTACAATGTCGTTTTCATCAAAGGAACAAATTAAACCAATTCAACTAGCTGAAGAGACACAGAAACCTAACCCTCAATCAGTTGTTATTGTTATTGGTGCATTAGCTCATGGTTCAGTTGTCGATACTTGTAAAGAGTTTACACAACGTACAGTCAGTATTAGTAACTTTCCTTTATCGGCCGCTCAGACATGCGCTCGAATATGTACTGCATTCGAAGAAGTATGGTGTGTTGAAGATATTTTAAGTGGAGTAAAAACGCAAATAGAAACCTGACACGTCAAAATGACATCGGTGATATGTATGATATTTATTTGTAAATAAAAGACTTGCACCTGTTATTGTATTGTAAAATGAAGTACATGTAAGTAATTGGGTGATTTAACTGTTTGTTATCATTTTCAATAGTCACCAGAAACACCCTCAAATATGAAAAAAGCGATGGTAAAAGGATAATGTAAACCAAACACACCGTCCACAGGTTAATAAATACGCTTCATCACAAAGAAAAAGTTATGTAAACTCTGATCACATAATTAGATGACTGAAAGTCAACAGAATAATTATTATTAGGAGGTGTACTTAATTTATTTGTTGACAGGCATATAACCAAAATTAAATAATGCCACTATTTGAATTTGTTTGATTTCATCAGCTGGAGGTAAAACACGTTGTTCTAATGTTGTAGAGGCAGTGGCAGTTGTTGCTGACAATGTTTCAGTAGTTGCAGTTGTTTCTGGAATCTTTCCTTGTGTTTTGGTAGTGTCAGTTACCACTGTTTTATTACTCGTTGCACTTAAGAGAGTAGTTGGTGTGTTTTTGTAGTCGAAATTCATGTAAATTGCAGCTTGTAAAGGGATTAGTTGTTCAGATTTGTGAAATTGATCAACTATTTGATCTTCGCCAACCGGAACCAAACTTGAATTTCGCAATGTCGGTAACTTATTGGTTTTTGGTATTAAAGTAACATTAATACCTAGTTTGTTACCACGACGGAAGGCCACTATCCTAGATAGGAATTAACAAAAGACGAAACAAAATTTATTGAGGTTACAGGAGTATTAAAATCACGGTAAGGTTTTAGTGACGCAAGGAGGTCCTATACTCCGATTGTTCGACCACGGTTTGGTGTTAATTATCAAAAGTTCCATTACTGGAATAGTCTGATCGATTCGAAAAGGTGTAATTACAATATAAGCATTAAATTTAGAGACTTTCATTTTTAGTGATTTAGTCACTTAACATTTTTATGAAATAATACGAATTCAGAAAGTTCGGTTGACCTTTGCCAATGTGAGTCACTTGTAGCGTAGGCAAGGTATTTGTTTGCCAACCGATGAACAAGTTCATTGTACATTAGTTCGCTCCGTTCTACTTGATGGATGTGGAACGTGGCTGATAGATATGCAGACTGTGTATAGGGTCCATGTACGATCACACAATAAGTGATCTAACCTAGAATCGGTTACAATGGTACAGACAAATTCACTCTTAAGTTTTCGTAGCATCTGAGTTCCATTGATACTACTGTTATCTCAATTCTCTTTCTGGGCCGATGTACATTTATTTCGGATTCTACGTTAATTATAACTAACTAGTACAAAATAACTTTATTTTGTGGCGAGACTATAATTTATGGATGAACCAATCAGATATAAGATAACGAGTAATGAATTATGGCGCGAAATTCGTTCATACATTTGGCTAAATAGAGTTTTGGCATTATAGCTGACATCAGTTCGTGATGAAAACCCTAAATCTAATTTTTAACCTTAACCATCAACCGTAAATCATAATTCTAACTGGTTTATAACTCTCATTTAGTACTAATCAGTAGGTGTCCATTCTCAAGGTCACTCCAGCGTCGCTCAAATGTCATCCATAAATTATAGTCTCGCCTATTTTGTTACGGAATTACATTGATCATGGTAAGACTGATGATACTGTCTGTCTCTTTTACTATGCAGATAAGAAATGTGGAAATCTGGACTGATATACGCTCATATTAGATCTTAAGTCTTCTATCCCTTTCAATTAATAGATAGTCAATGGTGCATGTAGAATTACAAAATAGCCATGAGTTAATTCAAATCACTGTTACGTTAGAACTGAAATTACACATTTGAGAGTTTTAACCACTGTATACATGTGAGTATACATTAGTTTAATAGAAACCAGATGATCTTTTACGCATTATGTATCAGAAAATTAATTTAATATCAAAAAGGATTATATGTCACGTGGTTTGTCGGTAGGAAACTCTGCTTGATCTAGATTTCGTGCTAGTTGCTACTCATTACTAATACTCCCTGTAGGATCACTCGATTACTTTCAACTAATTAAATATAATAATTATAATAATAATAATTAAATATAATCAATTCACATGGAATGGTTAGTGTAATTTCATCAATAGTTCAACAGTATTATCTTAAACTTACTTAGGATCATCTTTGTAATCGTCAGAACTTTGATCTGGAGTTACATCACAATCCATAATGTCATTACGGGGTGCAAGTTTTAACTCTTCGGTTGGTAAAATGAGCTAGTCAATACCAAAAGAATGGGGAAAAGTAACTATGCAATAAAACTGTGCTTATTTCACAATAAATGATTAATGTTGAGGATGTTTCAAATCAATCTAAAATCCAATTACTTATTTGCTATTCTGTTTAAGTTTTTACTTCTATAAAATTTGAAGTTCTTGTTTTTTTTCTTAGTCGAAACTCTCCCATCCTTTGTTGACTCGTCGCTCTTTGAATAAGCTTATTATCCACCATACATTTAAGAAAGATGTAAATACGTTTATACATTGAAACATTCTGCTTTATTCTAATTAATTGAATAAGCTAGGACTATGATAACGAAGTGCAGTATCGATTGTCTAAACGAATAGAAACTAGGAATTACTCAATATACAGACGTTTCGTATCAATTTTATAAAAATGTCAGCTGAACGACATAGTAACCAATGCAGAAAGATAATCAGTTACCATCAATATCGAGCGTAGTACAAATAGGAGTTAGCCTAAGTTGCTGTACCACAGTGGCACGACGACAGTAGGCTTTGCTATTAAGGCGGTAGTCAGGCTTGCATATAGTGATGATCTAACCAAACTATATTGGTTGGAACATTCATTCTCTTACGTTTTACTATCCTTGATAGACCAATACAACTATAAGCAGCAAACCTGAGGGTTTAAGGGAGAAAACGTACGACCAACTGTAATGGAGCATACAGATAGACAATAAAATGTTGCTCTTACATTCAGCATTGCTGCTTCCTACAATGGAAGCGAGGTTGAAAAATCTCAATCATAAACAGTAGCAAATATCAATTTGTTCTACAGATTTTTATTGATGGTGGTAAAGTCTGAGAAGTACAGAGCCAACGACAAATGAAGGAATACTCACCAAAAAGTTGTGTATCATTGGCTTCAGGCAGTTATCCCTTTATCTCTGCAGTCAACCTGTCAGTTTATCAAGTTTACCTCTAATCCAGTTTCGTTTTATAGTCCCCTCGAGCAGAATTATCTTTGTACGATGTAGGCAATTGATAAGTGATAACCACCCTTATATAACTAATAGTACTCAATATGAACAATCAAAAAGACAGAAATATCTAAATCCTGTCAGCGAATTCTTTTAGTATAATATAAAGTATCGAATAGAGACAAATATACATGATAAGTTATATACACCAATAATTGCTATAAGGTAACTTACATTTACAGTTGAAAAACATGTTAATTGATCATCAGACAATGATGATGCTGTGTCACTACTGATAGTAGTAGGATCCATTTTTGATTCATTGGCATTATCAATAGATTGAATTTTGACTGTAGATGAAAGTGAATTTAGTTCATGCTTATTGCTGTTAATTAAATGTCCAAGATGTTCTATTTCTTCTTGTGAAGTCAATTGACGTAATGAAAAAGTTGTAATCCGATGCATAGGATTACTTATGATTAAAACTATATTTATTTTCTGAGAAATAATAAAACGAAAACGTATTGATCATAATAATACTAAATTTCAAAGATGGTTTGATGATAACTATTAGGATGTGCAGAAAAATATACCAATAGTTATCATGTTAAGTCTAATGTTGTCCTTGGACGTTAAATGTACATTACCTATTGGTCGATATTTACTTCACTTGTTTAATATTGTGTAAATGTTGTTTTCTATTTTTATGGTACGATGTGGTATGTTTGGTTAGTATATAAACAGTGTGTGTCTGAAATACAATGATTCATATCTCAGAGGCTGTGACTTTCGTTCTGGACTCAACTGGCTGGGATAGATAGGGAAGCAGGCCAATCAGGACACTAGGTCGTTCATTACGTGTCACTGCGATCGATCGATATAAACGCTGCTTATCAATAACCTGCACACACACCCGTTACAACAATAACATAAGTGAAAAAAATTGGGCGTCTCATCATGGCGATCTGTACACTGTCTTGTAACCAGCCAAATGTGTATTAGCAGACTATCATTTTATGTAAAAGGCATTAGTTGAAAGTACTTACATCCTTGTGTGAACTTTAGTGGCTGATAGTATGCCAAGCTCACATAAGGTGTCTTAACTACTGGATAGATCAATTTGTTTATTCTTCTCAAGCCACATTTTGATCTTGTCAATTATTCGCCTATGAACCCTGATTATTTTTATATGATCGTATGTGTGTTAATTGCTCATCCTATTCATTAGGTGTCTTTAATTCACTTTTGTCGGAATATAAATATTGAGTCATGCTCGATCGAAACGAGTTGGCCCACTCGCCTTCTTGGCTGAGCGTCACTTCGTTTCTCTGATTGCCTGTCTGGATTAACGAGTGTATGAAATATACGTATCGAAATTCATTCTCGTGTTTGGTTTATTTTATTCCGTTAATCTCTAACGTGAATAAAGTCGATAATTATATATGAGGGTAGTTGGGATGTATATTTCGATAACAATCACTTGTGCGATCTAACTGGAGTCAAATATAGAGGGTCACCAAAGAACCATATGGAGTAGTATCATGTAGACAGATTCAATTGAGGAGTCGTACATGAGATCAAACAGGTGTATCGGATTTTACTGTTAGCCACTATTCAAAACTACACTAAACCTTGCAACTATAAACAAAATATCAAGGTTTTTGTTCAGGAAACCCAAATATCAATAAAGACTGATCATAATTTAGTTCGTGAATACTGACCAATAACCTCACCATAAAGTTAGTGAACGGGACTATCCTGGAAGAGGCTATAAACACATGGCAGTAAGAGAGCATGTTACAAGAGAGAACCATCCCCACCGTTATCTGTATAGAAAAGTTTGGGACGATTATATAACATTGCGGTAATAAGCAGATTTGACCACCTACACTGATATTCTTCAAAACAACCATGAAATAGTTATATTACTCTTATAACGCGATAGTATTGG